CACCGAGTCCAGAATTAATCTGATGAGCAGTGAGGGCCGACCAAAAGGCCTTGCCAGGTGAATCAATACTGCACTTTAGGAAGACTAATTTGGATGTGGTTTTTAAGAGGGTAAAAGGATTAGAGACCGAGAAAGACAAAAAGCCTGCTATTTCAATAATAACTCAGGCAGAATATGGTCCCCAACAGGGGAGTGGCAGTGGGAATGGAAGACATGGGGCAGTATAAGGGACAACCAACACATCTTGTGATTGACTGCCAGATTGGCTGAGAAGACACACTATTAAAGCAAAAAAGAAAAATGTAAGAGCCAGTTTTAGACTAATCTTGAAATCAGTTGAATGTCCAACCATAGAACTTATCATACTTGGCAACTTGAAGAAAAAGCATGAAATTTTCTTTCTACCTTTCCCTTCAGTGTGTAGTCACTGATAATTTTTCTCACAACTCTCTCAGCTGCAAGCATTTCTATTATTTTATATCGGGCACATATCAAAAGATTAAGCAAACTCAGGGAACAGCTCTTCAAGATTCATTCTTCTAGGATTAAATTTCAATATCTTAAATTGATTTTACCATTTCCTGTGTTTAAGAGACTTCCTTCTCTGGTACTGACCAATGGGCCACAGTTTGCAGGGTTTGCTTTTACTTATCTCTTCTTTGGTTTGCTTTAGCTGTTTTGGGGGTTGTTTTTTTCACTGTTTGGATACAACAGAATTATGCTTCTGAAAAGCAGCTAAATATGTGACTGTCATGTTAAAATGATCCACACAAGCTTCTTGAAGCTGGAATTATAAATATTTATCTTATTTTCTCTCGTGTCTGATCCCCCTATTAAGTGGTCTACCTCCTACCTATCTTCAAAATCTAGCCATTGCATTTCCCAACTACGCCCTCCTCTGAATCACCACATTCTCTCACTAGACTACCGCACACCTTCCCAGAGATTTCTTCATTCCTATGCTGAGCCCCACTTTCCAAGGTCTCCCCCACACAGTAGCCTGAATGGTCCTTTGAAGATGGAAATGGATCACAACACTCCTCTGCTCAGATTTCCCTACGGCTCAAAAAAAAACTCAAAACAGCACAGGCCCCATGTGGTTCTGCCACCATTACCCCATGCTCATTTCCTGCTTCTCTTGTCTTTGTTCGCCCTGCTCCCTCCATACTGGCTTCCTTGCATCACCCTCAATGCACTAAGGAGATCTTGGCTTTAACTGTGCCCAAAGCTTGGGAAATTCCTTCTTCAAATACCACCTGGCTGACTCTCACATCACCTTTCAGGAGTTTTGCTCAACTCTCAGCTCCCATTCAGGCCTGTCCCAGCTTCCCTAGTCCTTGCTGGCACCTGAGCCCAGCACTCCTGACTCCCCTCACTCACCCTGTTCTACCTCTTCTGACAGAGCAGTTTATTTATTATGTTGATTGTTTATTATCGGTTTTCCTCAACCAGAGGGTTGACTCCACAAAGAGATCTGTGCTGTTTCTTTTAATTCACTGATGAGTCCCAAGTATTTAGAGCAGTGGCTCTGAGCAAGTATTTGTTAACTGAATTAATAAGCATAAAACCATAGATCAAATTTTCAGACAATGATTTTTAAAACTTAAATTTAGAGGATAAATAGAAAGTGGGGCAAAAGTAGGTTTACAATTATAAGTGTACGAAAGTTTTTTCTTGTGTGATTATTCATTAGTTATTGTGTTGCTTACCCTATGAACAACTGTAAACCTATTTTTGCCCACCCACCCTGTATGCAGAACAGATTTTTAAACCTCTTAAATGCCTTTGTAACTTATTACATTGGGTTTAAAATGTGAATGAAATTTATTCTTTTTTGCTCTTTTGTGATTTCAAGGAATCATGGATATTAATTTCTACAAATGATCTTGCAAAGTGAAACATGCAGACTCCCATCTATTTCAAGCTTTTTACTAGGCTTGTCCAAAAGCTCCCACTTCTAATTCTTCCGTGAATAAATGATGTCCTGTCCACTGTCCATCCTGTGAAGCCTTCTCAGCAAAGAGAACATAAACAATAACCGCTTGTTCATTCATGGAAAACCGTGGAGTATATGTGATTTAGGCACTAGAAGAAGAGGCTCAAACTGGTCTGGCCTTGAAGTTTTACTGCTTCTGTTTATTCGATAGCCATTTGTATAATTAGATATTGAGTTAAAATTGTAAGCCAAGATTGTAAAGCATTTTGGGAACATTTTTCAGAATATGTTCTCATAGTATGATTTTATACTTTTTGAGTTCATTGTTTCAAAATGAAAGTTTATTACCCATTTTTTTAAAACACAAATTCGGGGTGGGAGGATCTTTTCCCACCTTGGCTTGTACAGCTCAGTCATGGCTAGAATGTGCTAGATTGGGCCAAAACAACACTTGATTCACACTCTGGATAAAAGTTACTATGATTTTTTAAAATTTCATCTGTTCAAGTAAAAAGCCTAAATGTTGTTTTAACCAAGTGTCTTGCATGTCTGTTTTTCAGAAACAAGAAGAAACAAAAACAAAATCTGCCTAGGAAATATGTAAGAAGGAGGAACATATTCTGTTTCTATGAAAAATAAAGTCTAGCTCTTCAATATTTATCTATTCCTAATACATTTACTCAGGAAAAAATATGTTTACCTTAGTGGCTTTCCAAGAAATGCTCAGCATAGAACTTGAAGCAATAACATTGGATTGATACCTCCAAAAGTCTAAACAATCTTTCCGCTTCAATGACATAACTCCCTGGTCTCATAAGCACCCCTTCAGTGATTTGTGTTAAAACAGCATTCCCTTCAACGTCTCGGAAGAATGTCCTTGCACAGTGCAGTTAGGCCATGACCCTTCATCTAAGAAGACAACTGACTGCTTTTAGTTTTATCAGGAAAAGTCAGAGGTATTTGGCAACACTTTTAGTAAAGTAATCTGTGATACTAATTTGTCATCATGAAAAGGAAAATCACAATATTTTAGAACTAAAATAAATCATAAAAGAGTTATATATGGGGCACTGTGGGAGAGGGAGGTAATTTCAAGAAGAGAAGGAAGGAGAACCAACCAAATCCTTGTTGTTACAGGTTAAAATAGGAGAGAGAAAAGATAGAGAGAGAGAGAGAAGGAAAGGGTGAGACAGTGAGAGAAAGTAAACTAAAACCCATGGTTCTCTATTAAATCAATAAGAACATCTATGGAAGACCCCAAGTTCTTTAGGAGCAATAAAGGGTGATCCAATCAGAACATTGTTAATAGCTGGGAGAGAAATTAAGGTCTGGAGATATCCTTAAGTTTGACCAATAGAAGATGAAAGATTTTTCTAAATTCAGGAACTGATTTTAAAAGAGAAAGACAACAGTCATAAAAAGCTATGAATGTATGAAGAAAAGATAGATTGCAAATCTAGTTCAAAAACTGGTCTAAAATTTACCATATTGAAAAATTCATTTTATTTATATCTTGTTTAATTTTGGCTAATTCTCTTCCATAGAGATTTTGAAAAACATATTCATTCAGCAAGTATTTATTTACGGCCTTGGCTGCTAGTCAAATAAATGAGAAAAGTGACCACAATTCTTCACTGACAGAAGGTAAAACCATTAGAGGACATTATTTAAATATCTAATATTAAATCCAGGAACTGGCAAAACACAAAAATAGATGAAAACTTTATCACACAAAGCAGACAATTCTAGCAGAAGAAGTCTGATACATGAAGGAGCTACTCTGAACTACCAGAGCCCACAGTGATTTAGGTCCATGGGTGAGTAAGTATCACGCTAGAGCGGAGGGAACACATTCTAAAGCTAGGTAGTCTCAGGTTCCCAGCTCAGGTGCTCCATTTACTGGGCATGCGCCCAGGCCGTTCCACCTCTCTGAACCTCAGTTTCTTTATCCATGAAGTGAGGACAGTGACATCTACTTCCTCTTGATCTGGACATAGGACACCATTTTATAAACTGAAAACAAAGGCACTGATCACAATGGAAGCGATGGACCAATTTGACACAGTGACATCATGGTTATCTGTTCAAAAAGAAACCATGAAGTAGCATTTTAAAAAGTAAAAGCCATGGAATGAGGAAGATGTTTCTTACTTTTAACTGGCAAAGACCAATGCATAGAATAATAAATAAATTCTATAAATACAAAGCAATAATAAGTCAACTAAAATTGTAGAGAAGACCTGACAGACATTTTATGAAACAAAATCCAAGTAGCCAATGAACATGAAAAGATGTTGGGCCTCATTAGCAATTAGTGAAATGCAGATTGATAATATTACTTCTCAGGATTGTATGGGTGGGAAAGTAAATGGTTATATATTTAAAGCACCTCCATAAGTCCTGGTATAAGGTATGTATAAAAAATCCTAAGTCAACTTTCACAAAGCTCTTTGCTGGACCCCTTCTAGGGGCCCTCACTATGATGCCAAATATAAAGCAACTCTCTACAGTCTTAACACCCATTAATAGGCTGAACTTACACTGGATGTTTTCAAAGATTAGAATCAAACTTGGACCTTTCTTTCATGAATATACAAAATCATTCCACCGCAGATTTAAAGCACTAACCTACTCCTGGCTTCCTGCTGTCTTTCGGACTCTAGTTTTCTCTCTATGCTATCATTTTCATCCCCTTTACGTTCATCTTACATTGCAGCTAGTGTTTGCATGATGTAAAACGAGAGAGCAGGATATAAATAAACATTATAAAGCAAGTCTATGCAAGCACTGGCCTATCACCAAGAGGCGCTTGGCATTACCAAGAACCGGCTGAGACTGACACATCTGTGGGTCAGAAACCAACACTCTTGAGTTTGTCATACCAGTGGGTTGCCATGGAGAAGGCTCAAAATCGGCACCCGGAGAATTGCACTTGCTCTAAATCAAGTACCTTAATTTAGCCTGTTCTAAAAATTTATCCATCAAGGTAATTTCTACGCAATTGGAAAGAATGGCATCCATGCATTTGATCAATGAACAACTGAGTAATTACGTCAGTACATACCAAAAGAGACAGAGAAGGTGCTGACTCCACAGCTATTTCAGGATCCTCCTGTTCACTCTCACTGTAGCATTCTATAACACAAATGCAAATGCTTAATGTTTCACTGCCATCATCGCTTATCCCATAGTGCGCGAGCCCGGGTTTCTCCATCTGGCCATTGCCATTCCACTCCAATTCAGAAAGGACTTATCTAGTGAGCTCCCAGTTTCCCGGGGATTATGGAAGAAAGGAAAACGAATGTCCACATCGGGGGTTCTGCCCTCAAGGAGCATCTGATACACAGGCAGAGGACAAACTGTGGCTCCAGCAAAATAAAATAATTCCTCAAGAGATGTGAGTCATGTACTAAGGAAGCATAAAATCAATGGTGATTAATTCTGATCACAGGAATCATAATGAGCTGAAATTGGAAGGATAAGTAAAACCATTAATGCCGTCAAGAGTGAATGTCGGTACCAGGCCAAGGAGGCAGGCTGAGCCAAGCACACGCAGTCTCCCAAAGGAGATGGTGGGAAAAGAAACTGACAGTTTCCTTCAGGCCGTACCACGGAAGGCCTTGTATGCCAGGAGAGGAGAGGCTTTTATGTAGTTATTTCTTTTCCCACTATCTATAAAGGTACCTTAAAACTAGAACAACTTATTTTATGGAAAATAAGACCAAGGAGATAGTTAGGACATTGATTTCATAGTATCGTAATGTGCCTCTTTATTGTTTTAAACCAAGTTGCCATTTTTCTATGTCTAAATTAAGGGTGTTTGATTTTGTTACCCAAAGTTCCCATTCCCAAATTCTATGTGGTCTGAACATATCAGAATAGTATCAGCTCTCTGACTCTGACACCTAACGTCTCTTTCTGCTTCACATTCAGGAGTACTTGTCTCATTAAGAGGAATTAGACACCGGTAGCTGTGAACCCTGAAAGCTACCGACTGAGCTAAGAGAGTGAGACCAGGCCTGTGTCCCCATCTGAACTGCAGGTTCCTAATACAAACTTTGGGTAAGCATTCTCAGCACACATCTGGTGAAAGGAAATAGCGGGATGAAAGTTATCTGTCTAGATCGTGATGAGATGATGCCTATGAGTAATAATCCAGTAAGTGGGGCAATAAAACATTTGCATTGGCAATTGTTTAAGATGTCATTGGAGCCCACTGAGCTAACGAGTGGGTGAAGTGTGACAAGCTTTCACAGCCAGCATAGGAAGCTCTATTCCACGCCGGGGAGTCTGTGTGATTATGTCTCTCCGTATTTCCGATCATTTTAAATGCCAAAGTGAAGACCATACTATGCATAGGACTTGATATCATTTTTTCATCTTCTTTCTTCCTATTCCAATATTCTTGCTAAATTTTCAGAAATTTAAGATAGAACATACCTTCATCCTTTGTAGTGGATTCATGATCAATTACAGATAATCCAAGCTTGTTTAACCACCTAAAATTTAAATAGAAAAATAAATGTTAGACCAAGAGATTACATACCTATTCACATTTCATCTAGACCCTGAAGAAAGGTTTTGTGCCAGATGTCGTAGTAAAGTTAGGTCATAATTCTACAGTCAGTCTAAACATTTCCAGAAATAGCATATATTTGTGGTGTCAAAACCTAACACCACTGGTTTTACAATATTCTCCTTACTCAGGGCATCCTTGGCAAGGAAAGAAAAATGAGGTGACCCATTCTCCAGATGGCTACTGTGAGTACTGACATTAGGTATTCTAAATATATAAACAAACACATCTTTTGCAATTGCACATCTGCAATTTTTAGCAGCCATCAAAAACTTTATTCTTAAATTCAGCAACTTGACCATGGAAGTTTTCAATCTACAAGTCTTAAAATGTCTGTTTATTTCACACAAAAAGAAAGAGTGATACATTTTCACTAGGGTTTTTATATTCATCAGTAAAACATCTGGCCAGTAAAACATCTGACAGGTATTCTTAAACTGGGGGAAATTGTAATTCCTTGAAGAAGTTTATTTCAAGTAAAAATTGTCCAGGTCATCTCTTCTATTGACTTACCGTTCTGTGTATTATGTTTGAGAAACCAGAGCATTTAGTAGTGGCCTAAGTCTACCAACACCAACCAGCTGACAATAACAATGCTATACACTTAAAGGTTCACTTACACCTTTCATTTCCTCTAGTCCTGCAAGGCCTCGAGAACTACTCAGCATGCTACACTCCCACCGTGACATAAGTATTGCATGTTCTCAGTGGTCAATAAATTGGGATTCTTTACTCAGCCCTCAGCCTATGGCAGACTTGCTGTCTTGCTAACAGACAATAAATAATAAATTTGATTTTTAAAAATAAATAAGGTAGGACTACCTACAGGAAGATGACTTGCAGTCTCATTTAGGAAATCCCCTTCACTCAGCTCCACGAACTCTCTAATGGTAACTTAAAATTAAAATGATACCTGGGCCCAGGTCATGCCACAGGAACAAGAAAATGTTCATCAAGACCCAATAGAACAATAAAAAAACAAATTAACAGGAAATCACAAAAAATACAAATGACTAATAATCATATGGAAAAAATTCCCAGCTCCCATTGTATTTGGGGTAGTAGGAAAATATTTGGGGTAGTAGGAAAACACAGGAAAATATTGTTCACCCCTAGATAGGTAAAAATTGTAAATATTTATGATTTCCAGAATTTAGGAGAAAACATGCTGATCCTTTGATGAGTTGAACATGAAAATTGATTCAGCCAATTTTAAGCAGGCGACTCAATAATATTATTCAAAATTTAAATATCCATCCCTTTTGCCCAATAATTCTAGTTATAAATATCTATCCTACACAAACACAACTTCATTTATACAAATAAATGTGGAAAGATATCAATTCAACAAGCTTTGCAATGGCAAAAGAAAATGACTACAATATCAACACCATTCCGAGGAAAATGGAGACATAAGGGGTGGCGGTGATTCCGTCAGCAGCAGGTAACCATGGAGTGAATAAAAAGACAAGTTCTAAAAAAAACCCATTATAAGGGGTGGCTTGTAATGGCCTGGAAAACTCCCACCATGGTGTTAAGTGAAAAAAGCAAGAAAACACAACATGTTTAGCCTGATTCAGTGTACTTTTAAAACTACATCTCTGTGTCTGTGCACAAGTTGCTATGCAAAGAAAGCATCAAAAAGAACATACACAGCAAACTGGTAAAGGTGGCTAATCCCAGGGACAGAAATTGGGGTTATGGGAAGCTTTTCCCTTTGCATTCTTCTGTATTATAAGATATTTTACAGGAATGTGTTTTATGTGTTAGTTAACTAAAAAAAATATTTAAAAGTACATTTTTTAAACTTGATCAGACAAAACACAATGAATTCAATGGTTCATTTTTAAAATACCGAAGCAATGTAATTCTTAGTTTATACAGAATTTCAGTTATATAAGCTAAACCTCCCCACAATAAAGTATCTAAAAATAAAATGGACAGAAAGTTTTTTTAACATATCGAGACAAAAAGAGTTTTAAATTGACAATGCCTGAAACGAGCAGAGGCATTGCTAAGTTCCTTTCAGAACATGAAAATGCAGAAACACAGCAAAATGAAAGAGTACTGACAACAGGCAAAACAGATTCCTCTGAGCCCTTAGCCAAAAACATGCCCTTCGAATTGCCACTATTAGTTACTTGCAGTGAAAAGCTGGTGACTGATTAGAATCTTGACTCTTTTCTTTCTGGAACCTACTGGCTTAGAGTATCTCCTTTTGCTAAGCACATTTTTTAAAACCTGGAAGCAGTAGAAAACTTTCTATTTGTGGCTAAATAGATGGATGCACAAAAGACTTATATTTACGGAAAAGATAACAGATGTTTCCTGGGAGTTTGTTACATATTGGCTTGACATGAATGTGTGTGTTAGGGAAACACAAATGTTAGGAAATTGATGCACAACAGGAGAACATGCTGCCCGCAGACCCTGGGAGGAAGATGGATACCAGGGTCTTCGTTTAGAAACCAGCTCTTCCATTGCCCTTAACTGCTTGCCCCATCCTTGTACACTGAGGGTCCCTTCAGAATGCACAGCATTTCTATTAAACATAATTGCCTTTCCCTTCATCGGCCCTGAGAGAAATGTCACCACTTAAAAATGCAGTTTCCCAAGGAGGAGAACTTCGAAAACATGACCCGTCTCTCCAAATGCCACTTCCGCCCTCCATGCCCAGCATCTCCGCATCTCATGAAGAAACACCCAGATGCATTACGAACTGGCTTAAACGAGCCACATCAGTGAGAAAGGAAGTTCTTCAGCTGCTCTGGTAGAACAAATCTTTCTTTTTTTCTTTTTTAGAACAATTCTTTCAATGTCATGTGCACAACCTTGTGCGAGAAGGGAGAAGTTAAACTGAAGGTCCAAAGAGATTCTACATTGTTGGCTATGAGAAAAACTGTCTTCAGAATAATGAAACTTAGTACTGATATTATAAGTAAAAGAAATTATGATACATTCATGCACAGACAAAATGGGCTGTTAACCTATCAGTGGCCAGATGGACAATCTTCAACTATAAAGGGCATTCAAAACTCTGGGGTCCAGACAGCTTCCATTCAAATTTCAATTTACATCTTGTATGTAAGCTGGAAAGATAAATGCTAACATCATTTCAAGTACAATTAACAGATCTTCACAGCATAGACAGGCAATGAGGTCTTGGCTTTGGGAGCTAGGAAAGGCTTTGATTTAATAGCCAAACAGGCAGAGTGTGTATGTCCTAAGTACAGCTAATACTCATGCAAATCTAGTTGCTGTTAGCTCTTGCTCAGCAAAGGGAAGACATGAAACCTGAAAACAAAAGGACCAGAAATGTGAACACAAACTAGAGAAGAGGGTGAGCAGGAAGCGAAATAACGGCTGGCCTGTGATTTAGAGAACAAATCTGCCTGAAATATAACAGCTTTAATAACTCTGCAAAGGTCTCACACTTGTACTGGTTTACAAATGCATTTTGCTACGCCGGAAGAGAAATTCACCAGGCAACAGAACACTGAGCACTGACTGTTTCTCTGGTAAACTCGGTCTCCTTCTTCCCTTGTGAGAGAGAACAGAACTACTTTGAAGAACAAGCCACAGGATGGGTAGGAAGGATGTAGACAGGAAGGGAGCTGGAGGTACCAGATGCTGTGTGAAAGAAGCCAAGGACAGCAAGAGGTTATAGGGAGGGGGCGGGGAGGCCCAGAGACCACTGGGGTCAGTTGGTGGCTCAGCTCCAGGCTATTTTAGGGCTCCAAGTACTGCTAAGCAAGACCGTAAGCCTTCCATACCCCCTTACAAACCTAGGGTTTTAATCAATAGGATTTAGAGTTACCAATGCAAATAAAAAGGGAAAGATAAAGAGCTTTGACTATGAAGTTTTAAAATCTTCTCCTTTTGTGTATCTGCTTTTTTTTTTTTTTCAGATGCTTAAGAAAGCCAGGCAGGAACAGCTAAAATCAGAAAGAGGAAAGAAACAACTTCTCTCTTTGTTCAATTAAATAAAAGATGTGTTTGAAAGACTCAGTTGTCAATTCCTTGCCTTGTTATTGCCAACGCTGGGTTTTTCAATCAAGAGCCATTGTGCCCTCTTATGAAGGGGTGTGGTGGGGAGATTAAGTGTAGGGAGCCAATGAGAATGCTTCTAGTTAGACCAGGCTTCTGATGGGGTATCCTGCAAGTTACATGTGCATGCGTGTGCACATGTGTGCTCATGCATGTTTGTGAAAAGCAGTTGCTTCACTCTTTAAGTTTCTAGAGCAAGAGGGCAAAGAGAAGTTATATAGGGCAGATAGAGAAGAAAATCATTATATATAAATAAATGAAATACACTAAGCCATGAACTCTATGACTGGAGGAATTACATCTGTACGCTTTATTTCTATAAATAAAGTACATATAGATGTACGCTTTCTTTATTTCTATTTAGGATCTGCTACAATGGGACTCAGAGTAGGCATTCCATAGACATATTTTAATTAGTAGTGTACATTAATAAGAGACACTAAGAATTCTAAAATTAGAGCTTAAATTAAATAGAATGCCCTCTGAAAGCTCAAACACCTCATTCAAATAACAGTCATGGCCACATCATGATCTAAGCCAGCAGGGGACGAAGTGGAGTGGGTAGTATTCTGTGCATATATTTTACTATTTAAACAGAGTAAATGGAAAACAGAATTTTAGGGGTGTAAAAATTTCAGTTAGATACACTTTGAGCAAGAATGTTCTGCAAATATTTGGGATTGAATATGGAGGGGTAATAAATACATGAATCATTGTGATAACCACTCAGCACAAATGAAATGCTACAAAAATCAGAATTCGGAAAGCTGCAAGATCAGTTATGTAACACTTTCAGGCCTTTCTTTTAACAATTTCTTATAGTGACTTTTGTCTCTTCCTTTCTCAGTTTAGCATTCCCCTCAGAAGAATCTCACTACTTCCTCTTCTTAAAATAGCCATTTTGATGTGGTCTTCCAAACTGCTTCCAAAGAAGAAAGCAAGAAGACTTTATAGCTGCTAAAGAGATGAATACTTAAAGCAGCAGAAATAAAACAATAATTGATATGAACATATGTGTAAAATTCAAACTCCTGACCAAAGTAAGTCTGTTCCCATAAACACTGGATTTAGCGGTTTCCTCTACTTACACGTTCATTTCCTGCATATTCTCAGCTGCGAAATAAAAGGTCTTGATCTGCGGGTGGCTGATCTTAAAAGCACTTGAGGGAGAAAAGCACAGACATGTATATTAGTGTGTGTAATCATCAATGGGTTTAAAATTATATGAGTCAAATATAAGTATGGTAAAGTTACTCACTTTACAAAGGGTCATCCTTTTGTAAATTTACAAAAAATAATTTAGTCACACTAAATACCTATTATCTAATCTCTATTTCACTTTAAAAACAGAGGGTTAGTTTACCATGGCAGAATATCCAGAACAGGACCGAGTCTTGGCTGGTCAACAGTTTCTATTTAAAACATATCAGTAGATTCTACTTTTATTTACTAACTATATTTCTATAAGAGACAATACATTACAATTTAGAGTGATAGAAGTGTCACTTCAAAATACTTGGATAAACTCCTTCAAGTATTAATTCAATCAAGTATGTACAGAATTTATTTACAGAAAAATAATCAAGTACAGAATTTCCAAAATGTTATAATCCATCTAAAACCTTATCCACCACCCCCTGGTAAAGAAAACAACATAAGGCAGACTTTTAGTTTAAAATCACAGTATAAAACATTAAAGATGGCAAATAATAAAGTGTTTCCCATTCAGACTGGGTCCGGTATGAATGGTAAAGTGTTCACCATTCAGACCAGACGTCCTACACTATGGGCAAGGATATTTAGAAATATTTGGTCAAAACCACAAGAATCATCACAAACTTATATGTTATTAGGTATGTGCAGCTACATTAGAAGGGCAAAGACTTAAAATTAGCACCAGTTTATTCATTGTTTTAGAAATAAATTAATTGACTCCTGCTACTAGTAACACAGACCATCAGGAAGTGCTCCTTTCCAACAAAACAGGAAAAGATGTCAAACGGGTAAGAAAGAATAAGAAAAGGGTGACGAGGACACATGCAAAATGCAGCGGGCTGCTGTCAGGAGGACCTGCCAGGAGTCTGGAGAGCTGGTCAAGAGCCAGCCCTCCCATGAGTTCTAGGTTGTTCTCTTCTCTGTAACATTAGGACCACGGCTGGTGACTTTTTTGGTTCCTGCTCATTCTCTAATCTTTTGAACTTTAATCATATCAGGTTGTAATCCCCAACTCTAAGACATCTCAAGGGAATTGAATTTCAATGGTGCTACTGATAATTCTATAAACTAAGAAAAAGTAACGGGTTTTGCCATCTTATAGACAGCTCTGGAGAATTCTGTTTAACTAGTCATTCTCTTCACATGGACAAAACCTTGACACCTGACCTCCCTGCCAATTCTGGTAGGAGCCTGTGGTTAATTCTAGCACAGACATAGTCATCAACAACAGGCCAGGCCAAGGCTCCACGGGGCTTTACAATCCATCTGCTTCATGAAATGAAGTTCCTGAAACTAAGAGGTTAAAAGCTTCTATTGTGGTATAAGATGCCAACCCAGAGGGCTCCAAGTTCTCAGACACTGCATGCCACCCTCATTAACCCACATCACCACATCACTCAAGGGGTTTTATGAAGGGAAATCATCCTGGCTCGGAGTTTTGTGGAAAATGAGAAGATAACTTACTGCTTTTTTTTGCATTCAGATGCTTTCTCCACAGTGAAATCGGACAGTTTGACAAATCCATCAGCTTTTTCTGCCTGAAACACATGCATACCACATATATGAATAAATGCAGTAGGCCTAGCAGTTAGTTTAGTGAGATTACATACATTAAATAAGATAGCATAAATGGAATAAAAAGAATCAAAAGATATCTCTCTGAATCAGCATTGGACTTATCCTAGATACACATTCCATTAAGGGATTTGATACTCACCTGTAAAGTCATCTAGAATCTTTCCATGAGCAGTAACATGAATGAGCAGTAACATGACACAGCTTCAGAATGGTCAATGCAGGGCACCCAAGGGGCCTTCCCTGCCCCTTCCTCTCTTCCTAACCCATCAGAGCTCTGCTTTCTGCTGAGCCTACAGGCATCCACAGCATCATTCTCATCCTAGTCCTGTAGTAAGCTGAAGCACAGAAGATGGGGCCTAATCAGTACTCCTATATGGCAGACAGAGGCTTGATTTTGGAGTCAGTAAATCAAGGTTCTTAATAAGGACCAACCACTTACTGGTGGGTAAAAGACTTCAATGAGCTCAGGTAAATAAAATACTTAACAGATACCCAATGAACATTATTTCCTCTCCCAAGATTGTAGGGAGTTCCTTTAGGAATAAATCAGTCTTATCTGGATAATCTCAGTTCCTTATTGATTCCTAGGAGTTCTTTCTACAAAGGAAAGACTGCAGAAGAAAATGACATTTTGGAGACACAAATGCCAGTTTGAAATATCAGTACTTTTATAGGAAATGTAATGATTCTTCCACCTCTCGAAGAACTTGTTCATCTTTACTATGTGGATAAAATTTAACTGAACCCCAAAGAAGCTAGATTGCTTATGATGAATAAAACTTAAATCTTCTACCATCTGCACTGGTGTCTGAGAAGTACAGACCACAAAAATGAGCATAAATTAGTCAGTGGTTATTGGGAGGTAAGCAAGAAATTATTTTTAAAATGCGATCTTAATTCTAAAAATCAGCTAGATGGAAAATTAGCACCATGGGTGCCCTTACGTCACAGCATCATCTGCCTCTTCCCCTTACTGCGAACTAGAGCACAACTTGCACTCTGTTCTTCAGAAAAATTAAACTGAAACACCCAACCTTAGGCCCGACTTATATTTCTCCCCTACAGGAGTCAGTTTACCCAAAGCATTTTACTTGAAATGCTTTCTTCTTATGAGACTCAAAATTCAATTCTACAGGGCACTTCCTAGATGGGCACTAGACTTATTATACGTTATGCAAATATTGAGTCACTATGTTGTACACCTGAAACTAATATAATATTGTATGCCAGCTATAATTGTCATTGAAACATAAATTAAAAAAAATAAATACGTAAAAATAAAGAGTACTTCCTTAAAATTATGTAGATGTACTTTTATAATATATGTGTATTTTTTTAATTCAACCTCTCTATTTCTTGATGGACTCTTTATTAATTGCTCAATGGTAGTTTCACCAACCTATCCGAAGAGAGTGAGAATTACTTAAAGAACATAGACTGGGAAAATTCACATTTTCTACAATGCACAGTGCTTCCTGTGGATTCCCAGTTAACATTATGAAGGTGTATAGCTTCAAAAAGCTGTGTCAGGTTCCAGCAATCCCACCCTTCTACCCAAGAAAGTGGAAAACAAGTGCTCAAACAAGTGCATGTACATGCACATGTACAGCAGCATTATCTGCAAGAGCCAAAGGGTGGAAAGAGTCCAAATGCCCATCAACGGAAGAAGGGATAAGCAAATTGTGGTATATTCATACAATAGAATATCATTCAGTCATAAGAACAAATGAAGAACTACATGTTATAATGTGGATAAACCTTGAGAGCATTGAGCAAAGTGAAAGAAGCCAGAAATGAAATGTCACACATGATATGATTTCATTTACATGAAATATCCAGAACAGGTAAATCCACAGAGACAGAACACAGATTAGTGGTTGCCAGACACTCGGGGGAGTAGGAAACGGAGAGGTACACAGCTTAATGCACATAGGTTTCCTTCTCCATGTGATGAGAATATCCGGAACTCGACAGAGGTGATGGTCACACAACATTGAGAGTGTACTAAATGCACTACACTGCTCCCTTCAAAACCATTAATCTGTGTAAACATCATCTCAGGAAAAAAAAAACCTATGTCAGGCTGGGGTATTTTTAGATAAATTTTTATAATTGTGTTAGAATAAAAAATAAAATAATTTATATTAACCATTTTTTTCTACTTCCTCCACCCATTCACCTCTATGTCCACTGTTCCACAGGGGTGGTAATTACCAGGAGCCCAATGCCATCCATGTTGCTAGATCTCATCTACCTTGACGAGCCCTTACTTAACTGAACCCAGAACTTACACTATAGTCTTCCCCTCCACCTTAAAATGCCTCACGCCCTGCTTTGTGACATTTCGGCTACTCCTCTTCCCCTCAAACTACTCCTTTGCTCTTTTTCTATGAGCCTTTTCCTCCTGTCCATTCTTAAATGTCAATATTCCCAGATTTCTGACCACGAACCCCTTTTCTTCTCATTCCAATACTCTGTGGGGCATCATACACACTCCTGTGGCTGCACATATCACCACTGTGTACACACATCCAAAAGCTGTACTTCAAACTGGGGTTCAACCCAGAGATCCTGTCTTAGGAATCCAGCTGCCTCGTGTGCTGAGCCACATGGGTATTCCATGGGCTCCCCACTATGAACTGAATGTGTCCTTCAAAATTCATATGTTGAATACCTAATGCCTAGTGTGATGGTATTTAAAACCCTGTAGCTTTTGGGAAGTAATTAGGTTAAGATGAGGTCATGAGGGTAGAGTCCCATGATGAGATTAGTGCTCTTTTTTAAGATTTTATTCATTTATTTATTCATTTCAGAGAAAGGGGAAGGGAGAAAGAGGGAAACATTGATGTGAGAGAGAAACATCCATCAGTTGCCTCTTGCATGCCTCCAACCAGGGACCTGTCCCACAATGCAGGCATGTGCCCTGACCAGGAATCAAACCAGCAACTTTTCTGGTTTACAGGATGATGCCCAACCCACTGAGTCACAGAAGTTGGGGTAAGATTAATGCCTTTATAAGAGGAACACACAGTTCTTCTCTTACCTCCATGTGAAGATACAGAGAAAGGCAATTGTTTGCAAACCAGAAAGAGAGCCCTCACCAGGCCCAAAATCTGCCAGCACTTTGACCTTGGACTTGCCTGCCTCCAGAACAGTAGGGAATAAATGCTGCTTGATATTTTGTTACAGCAGCCCGGGCTGACTGAGATATTCCCTAAGAATGACAAGCCCAGAACCAACCTCATCATCTTACTCCATACAATGCCTGTTCCTCTTTCTCCTGTGTTCTCCATTTCAATCAATGACACTATTTCCCTAGAGTTGTCAAAAGATACGAGAGACGTCTTTGCCTCTTCCATCTCCTTCTCAGCACCGTGAGAGTTGCATCACCGGCGCCTCTGTCCCTGCCCTTCGATACACCTATTCCCCACCACTTCCTTCAGCTCACCATTAACCTCGCCAGAATTACTGAGAAGTCTCCTATACCGTTCTCCCTCTCCCTAGTTCTGTCCTTCCCTCCCGTTATCATGGCAACAGCACAGCAGTAGCAAAGCTTCATGAACGTTCTTCACGTCACTTTTTTCATTAAAATCCCGCATGGTTCCCAATTGCCCTTAGATGAAGTCTACATGCCTTAGCAGAGTATAAAAGGCCCTTCTTACCAAGTCCTACTTAATTATGCAATTTCATTTTCTCCAATGTCCCTGTTCCTTACTCAGCCAAAATAAACAAAGAAACTAAAATACTGAAAATACTTCCATTCAGCTGAATTAGAATTGAGATCCAATTGATTGCATTATTTGTTTATAGACAATTTATTTTCAATTCAAAAAGCCCATCTCGAGCAACAGCAATACAAAAAAATCAATCAACAAAAAATGAAATAAACATATGCCTTTACTAATATTTGTTATTTATTTATAATAAATAATTGTAAATCTTCATTTGGATGGATTGATTTTCTGCATTACTGAATGGCTAAGATTCCTTCACCTGAGACCCTAAATAAATCTCAGTGAAAGATGCCTTTGTGTTTCCCCAGTAAAGCATTTCTTTATGAGCAAAGGCACGTTCCACTGCTTAGAAGACATTCAAGACATGCTCAAAATCAAGATAACTGTGTCAAAAAATGTCCTTGCTTATCTGACTTGCAAAAACAATGCCTTGAAAATGATAATCGCAAGAGGTAAATCCTAAAGCAATGACAGTTTTCTCCTCTTCCTCCTTCTTCCCCTCCCCCTCCTCCTCTCAAATCCCTTATTCCTTGTTACATTAACCAAAATAGTGTTCTCAAATGATATCCTTCCTCTTCAAGAATTCTTAACTTTCTGAGACATTACTTGAAAGTTCTACATTGGTACCTGCAAACATCCCTCTGTATCCTAAATGTATAATAAAAAAAATTTTTGCTTTCTTACCAGAGGTATCAAACCACCCTTTGGCCATTGAGGAAACTTGTCTTACCAAGTCTAGTCTTAACTCTGAAGTGAGACAGGCTTGTCACTTTGTGGTATGACGTTTTACAATATTAAAGGTACTCCTCCTCATCAACTAGTTCACCCACTTTTCCGGACAACACTGATTGTGTTTGTCCCAGTGGAGTCTTACCAGTACTTACTGTCATTAGGCAGCATGAAATGCATGTTTTTATCAAAACTGTTAGGGTTACACAGGCATGTATTCAACATGTATATCTGAGTAGCTTCTTTGTGTCAGGCACTGTGTGAGATGTTTGGAATAGATTAGTGAACAAAACAGAGAGAGAGATCCTTACTCTCATGGAGAAAAGATAATAATTCAACATATAAGCATATAAACCACACAGTTATAGGCAATAACTGTTATGGAAAATAGTAAAGTTGATCAGGTAAATGGGGTGCCTTCTGCTCCTAGGCTTATAATGCAACTTCCTCCCTCATTCCCCTAGATACATCTCCAGCAATCAACCTAGGTATGACCT